ACCAAGATCTCCTCCCTCGAAAGCTTCCCAAGATCTTGCTTATTAAACATTGTATAGCCAAGAATCCGATGGAGAATTCGAAGATCCGGGTGAATGATCTCGCTAGCAAGTGATTCCTTAGAGTTAAACACCTTCTCTTTAGCTATGGCTCTGCACCATGCAACCTCATTGTAATCAGACTTGAGAAGGGCAATCAAGGGCTCATAGATGTCGGTATTGGGGTTGAAGCCAAGGGCTTTGTTGAATTCTGCAAGGTTCATGGTATGCTTCGAATTGAAAAGTTGAAAAGAGATGATATAGTCGGTATCCCCCGTCATATTAAGCACAAAGGTGGAGAAAAACTCAATGCACGGTTCCAAATAAGTTCGGGAGGATGACTTTAAAAACTCATCCAAACCAAGATTATGGAGCAAGATGTTAAGATCGGCATCAACACCAAATTTGACCATATCATATGGAAAATAGTTGCGGGTCGGTCTAGATTTCCGGGATTTCATTCTGTTATAGATAGGGGTATGTTTGGACCGGTTATGAAATTTTAGAGCAGGGAAAGGAGGAGGTGAGGCATCAGCTTGAGTAGTTTGGTGTTGAGGGGGTTCAGTGGTTGAAGGTTGGCTACGAGAGGATTGACCTGGGGATTGGTTTGAACTTTTCTTTCTACTTTTAACTTTCCTCAAAAAATCCATAGTCTCAAGCTCAACCAACACAAGAAATCACAAAAAACACCCAAAATCAATACTACCACCAAATTGATCAAACCACCCTTCACAAGACCACCCAAAACCACCACAAACTACAAAGTACCTGTTACAAGCAACAAAAAACTAAAAATCCAATAACAACCAACAACATTATCAATCTACCACAAAAATAAGCACAAATCACCCAAAATAATTCCAAAGCCACCATACAACCTACCAAAAACATCATAATCATGCTTAATCAAGGCAAATCAAAACCAATGCATAATAATCCATTGAAATTGACAAAAATAAAACATAGGTTAGAAGTATACCAAGATTGAAGACTCAAAGTAAGCTCAAAAAACCGTTTATGACTCAAAATTCCTGAAAAAGACCACGAGAACAGAGAGTAAGCTTGATGAAAATAGGGTATGAAGGAAGTTGGGATGGAAATTTAAGTGAAAACAAGGGTGAATGTGAGTAAATATGTGTGAAAGAGATGATTTGGGGGTTACGGTTTCAGATGAGGAAGAGGGAGAATGGGGAAAAGATAAGAGTGAAATGGAAAATAAGAGAGGAGAGAGAGAGGGGAAACCGGTTATTGAAAAACCTAGGTTCCCGCGCCCTCTATCGACATCTCCGCGCCCGCGTGGATCAGCATGCGCTCGCGGAAAGACCGCGGGGCAACCGCGGGTAAGTTTTGGAAAAATTTGTATTTTTTTACCTAAAAAGAGGTCGCCCCCTCTCCGAATTTCTCCGCACCCTGTCTAGGATTGTCAAGCCCGCGGGGCAACCGCATAGAGTTCCTAATCCAATTTGGTGAAAATAGGTCGCGCCCTCTCTGATTCTCCCCGCTCCCTCTCTAAGGCACCAGCGCCCGCAGGGAGCCCGCGGAGAGACTACGGAGAGCTACTGATCCGATTTCCTCCATTTTGAAAGCAAGGGCACCCGAGGCCTCTCCAAGCTCGCGGGGTGCCCTCTCCCCTGCAATATAATACCTCCTTTTTCCAACCTCATTAAACACATTAACTTCATAGATGATGAATGAAGGCAACTTACAAAATAATCCAAAAAACACAAGTAAAGTTAAGAGCGAAAATCAACAAAGAAAAATAAAAGAATGGAAGGAAAAGAGAGTAGAGGTGAGAATTCGAGTTTCCTCCCGTAAGCGCTTTTGTTTAACGTCGTTAGCTCGTCGTTTACCACCACACTCAAGGTGGCTTGAAAAGAATCATTTTATGAATAAGACTAACAAACACTCCATTAAAATATCTCTTTAGCCGATGACCGTTTACCTTGAAAGAAGATGAGGAATCCAAAGGAGAAATCTCCACGGTACCATGAGCAAAAACATCTTTCACCAATTAAGGGCCACTCCATCTTGACATGTGCTTCCGGGAAATAACTTCATTCTTGAATTGTAGAGGAGGAATTTATCACCCACACAAAACTCCTTTTTCTCAATAAGCTTATCATTAGCTTCCTTAAAACGAGCTTTGTAGGTGCTAGCGCTTTCATAAGAATCAAGTCTAAGCTCCTCTAGCTCATGAAGATCCAACCACCTTTTCTCCCCCGCACTTTCTAAATCAAAGTTTATCTTCTTAATTTCCCACAAGCACGGTGTTCAAGCTCCACCGGGGGATGACAAGATTTGCCATAGACAAGGCGATATAAAGTGGTGCCAATAGGTGTCTTGAAAGCCGTCCTATAGGCCCGAGAGCATCATCTAACTTGTCCGACCAATCGTTTCTATTCCTTGCAACCGTCTTCTTAAGAATAAGCTTTATTTGACAATTGGAAACCTCGACTTGGCCACTCGTTTGAGGATAATATGCAAGGTCGAACCGTTAATGAACTCCATGTTTCCTTAACATCTTTTGGAAGGCGTTGTGACCAAAATGAGAACCACTATCGCTTATCACAACCTTAGGCATGCCAAACCTTGGGAAGATGATTTTGTTAAACAACTTCAACACTACTTTGTGTTCATTAGTTGGGGAAGCAATGGCCTAAACACATTTAGAAACATAGTCCACAGCCACAAGTATGAATTGAGTTCCATATGAAGATGGGAATGGTCCCATAAAGTCAATCCCCCATACATCAAACACCTGTAACTCAAGAATAGGCTGTTGAGGCATCTCATTCCTCTTAGAGATATTCCCAACTCTTTGACATCGGTCTCATGACTATACAAAGCCCCATGAATCCTTGAACAGATGTGGCCACCACAAACCACATTGTAGAACCTTAGTGGCGGTTTTGGAAATGCCCATATGACCACCACTAGGATCCGAATGGAACATCTTTAGAACACTTGGCACCTCTTCATTCGAAACACAACGCCGAAGCAAGGAATTAACCTCTTGTTTATACAAGATGTGATCATCCCACAAATAATGTCTTGCCTCCCACTTGAGCTTCTTCCTTTGGTTCTTGGAGAAAGAGGTGGAAACTACCCACATGCTAAAAAGTTCACCAAGTCGGCATACCATGGGAACTCCTTAACCTTAATGGCTTACAAGACATCATCAAGCATTTTATCTTCAATTGGTAAACCATCATCATTAATTTGATCACCCTCAAGGCGAGAAAGATGGTCCGCCACAACATTTTCTGCACCTTTCTTATCCCTAATCTCTATTTCAAAAGTTTATAATTCAAGCACCCAACGAATCAACCTTGTCTTGGACTCTTTCTTGGAAAAGAGATATTTGAGAGCCGCATGATACGTGACGACAATGGTCTTGGAACCCAACAAATAACACTGGAATTTCTCAAAAGAGTGAACAATGGCCAAGAATTCTTTTTCCGTTGTTGTGTAATTCTTTTGGGCCCAATTTAGTGTCTCGGACATATAATGAATCACATAAAGCTTCTTGTCCACACGTTGTCCCAAAACACCTCCAATTACCCAATAACTAGCATCACACATCAATTCAAAGGGAAAATCCCATCTTGGGGCTTGAACAATGGGGGTAGAGATTTGGGCCTTCTTTAATCTATTAAATGCTTCCAAGCATTTAGCATAAAAAAAAAACTCAACATATTTTTGAAGAAGAAACTCGCATGTCCCAAAAATTATCTCACTCCCTTGACATTCATCGGAGGCGGAAGTTTCTTAATAACCTCGATCTTGGCCTTATCTACCTCTATTACTTTATGAGAGATCTTATGTTCAAGCACTATTCCTTCCTTCACTATGAAATGGCACTTCTCCCAATTCAAGACAAGATCAACCTTTACACACCGTGCCAAACGTTTCTCAAGATTCACAAGGCACTCTTCAAATGAAACCCCACCTACGGAGAAGTCATCCATAAATACCTCCATTTCTTCCTCCAACATGTCTCAAAAAATTCTCGTCATGCACCTTTAAAAAGTTGCGGGGGGATTACAAAGGCCAAAGGGCTAGGGGCCTATAAATGTTGTCTTCTCTTGATCTTCAGGGTGGATTGGAATTTGGAAAAAACCCAAATAGCCATCAAGGAAGCAATAGAAATTGTGCCTTGTTAGTCCCTCTAACATTTGATCAATGAATGGAAGGGGAAAGTGATCCTTTTTGAAGGATGTATTTAGACGTCTATAGTCTATACACATCCTCCAACTGGGTGAACGTCCTATTTGGAATGAGCTCACCTCTCTCATTCTTGACTATGGTCATACCCCCCTTCTTAGGAACGACATGAACGGGAGAGACCCACCTAGAGCTTGAGGTGGGGAATATGATTCCCGCATCCAAGAGCTTGGTGATCTCTTTTTTCACCACCTCTCCCATTTGAGGGTGTAGCTTTCTTTGTCGTTCAATAGAAGGAAGGGTGCCTTCCTCAAGCGTTATGTGGTGTGTACACAAAGTAGGGCTATACCTTTAAGATCATCGATAGTATAGCCCAAAGAACCTTGGTGCTTTCTCAAGACATAACATAACGCTGGAGCTTGGCTCTCGCTCAAGGATTCACTAACAATTACGGGATAAGTGGAATTTGGGCCTAAGAATTCATACCTAAGGTGTGATGGTAGAGGTTTGAACTCTACCATAGGCACACCTTTACCTTCTTTTGTTGCGGTCGCTTGCAAAGCTTCATGGCTTGAGATCTTCAAGCACAATTGTTCATCCACTTCCTCCATGCTTCCATTAAGCAATTCCTCATACAATTCCATCTCCTTGTATGGTGCACCAAGCTTGTCATTGTTCAACAAAACATTCTCAAGAGCATCGTTAGAGGTAAGAAAGTGCTCATGCATGGAAGACACAACATGATCAAGAAAGTCAATCATCATACAATTTTCAAGAGAAGAACTTGGATATTTCATGCTTTAATTCAAATCGAATTCTATGAGCTCATCTCCTACCTTAAGGGAAATCTTTGCACACTTGACATCTATCATAGCACCCGAGGTAGCAAGAAAGGGTCTACCTAGAATAATTGGAATGGTAGCATCTTCATCCATTTCTAGAACAACTAAATCCACCGGGAACACAAACTTCCCAACCCTCAATGGAACATCTTCCACTTTACCTTTTGGAAACTTGATTAACCTATTGGCTAGTTGCAAGGTAATGTTAGAAGGTAAGAGTTCCCTTAGATCAAGTATTTTATAAACCGAATATGGCATTAGGCTTACATTATCTCCTAAGTAACATAAGGCACTGTCAATTTGCATCTTGTTAATAGCACAAGGGATGGAGAAGTTTCCGGGGTCTTTCACTTGGGTGGCATTTTGTTCATGATGATCGCACTACAATTTTTAGTCAAGTTGATAGTCTCCACAACATCACAAGTCCTTTTCCCACTCAAAATGTCTCTGAGGAATTTTGCATAATTAGGCAGTTGGTTGATCACATTGGTGAAAGGTAGAGAAAGATGAAATTGTTTGAGCATATCAATAAATCTCCCAAATTGCTCATCCAATTTGTGTCTCATTAATTTTTGGGAATAAGTGAGCTTGGGTTTCACAATCTCTTTCTATACTCTCACCTCTCTTGGTGTCTCAACAACAACCTCATCTAAAGATGCTCTATCTCTCTCATTCTCAACCAAAGCTTCCTTGGGGACCTCCTTGTCTTCACTCCTCCTAGGCAATCTCTCCTCAAGAACCTTACCACTCCTTGTAACAATAGCATTCACGGGTTTCTTGGGACCAATGCCTTGGGAAGGTAAAGAAGAAGGGATTGCTTGGTCTATCAAAGCATTAGCAAGTTGAGAAATTTGGTTTTCGAGCATTTTGTTGTGGGTCATCATCTCATTGAACTTCTTATCACTAACGGCCATGTATGTGTTCAATAACTTGGTTTGATTTTCAATTATTTCCTCCAAATTGTTCCTAGAAGAAGAAGGTTGTGAATAGGAATTTTCACCTTGAGTCTTTGGAATAAATCTAAGTGGGGGACCTCTTTGAGAATTATTTTGAAAATTGCCCCTACCTTGATTGTTCCAATTACCCCTATTTTGATTTTTACCATAACCTTGATTATCGTTTCCACTACCTTGGATATGATTTCCATAACTTTGGTTTTGATTTTGACTACTATAACATTGATTGTTATAGTTACCACGAGAACCTTGGTTCCCTTGGTTCCTATAACCCCCACCTTGGTTATAGTTGTCAAAATTACCTATGTTGTTGTAATTCCTATTCCATTGACCTCTTTGATTATCAAACCTTTGCACATTATTATTTGACACATAATTCACATGCTCACTCTCAATATTATCAAAATCATCACCACATTCCAGAGAAGCATGAGGGCAATTACAAGAGTCATTATCATAAGATCCACATGTATCACAAAACAAGCAACCACTAGGCATATTATTTGATGAGGGAGGGGTTTAGAGTTCGAAAGAGTACCTCTCCCCTTAAATTGGGAGGGAAGATTCGAAGCTTGAAAAGAAGAGGAGATTTCCAACTTGGCTTTGATTGCGGTCATTTCTTTCCCCATGTTTGTCATTTGTGAGGATAAGTTGTTGATCGCATTTAGATGGTCTATAGAGTACACTGAAGAGCCACTCTTGCTAGTTGAATCCCTCTCACCATCTTTCCAATCTTTGTACTTAACCACGTCCTCAATAATGTCCACCACTTCTTCTTCCGTCCTATTCATTATGGGACCTCCGGCTCCCCCATCAAGGCATGATTTTCCTTGAGGACTTAGGCCACCATAGAAAATTTGAATGACTTGATAGGTTGGAATTCCGTGGTGGGGACACTCCCTTTGGTACTCTTTATACCTCTCCCATGCTTCGTAAAGGCCTTCATTAGGTCTTTGCTTCAACCCTTGAATCAAAGCTCTAACCTCCGCCGTTTTCTTTTGTGGGTAGAATCGGGACAAGAATTCCTTGGTGACTTCGTCCCATGTTCGTAGGGAGTTTGGTTTTACCTCCTTATCCAACCACTCCAAGGCTCGGCCTATGAGAGAAAAGGGAAACAACTTTAGCCGGATTAACTCTTGAGAAACTCCGTTCACTTTGATAGTGTTGCGATACTTGTCGAACTCCTTGAGATGGTTTAACGGACTCTCATTCTTAGCTCCGCTATATTGTCTCCTCTCGATCAAAGCGATCATAGCCGGCCTAGTTTCAAAATCATTTGATGGTGTTCTAGGTAAAGCAATTCCACTCTCAAACTTGTAAGCACCGGGAATTCCCAATTCTTTCAAAGCAACTCTTGGTTGTTCTCCCATGCCTAGTTCTTCTTCAAATCCTTCTTCGCTTGAGGAACTAAACTCCAAGGATCGACTAGCAATTCTTCTCCTTGAGAGAGTCCTTTCGATTTCCGGATCAAAAGGCACAATGGATCGATCACGATCTCTATGCATGCAAAACTCAATAAAAATATTAGTAGCATCGCTACAAATGTAGCCTTAAGAAAAAAAATCTTTTTGTATTTTTTCAATTAAAGTGAAATAGAATAAACAACTAAAGCTAAGCACCAATATCATTCCCCGACAATAGCGCCATTTTGATAGAGGAATAAACGAGTCGTTAATTGTCTATTCCTAAATCAAACACAATTTGTAATATCCTAAACCAACCTAATACAAGTATAAGGCAAGTATAGGGTTGAACCTAAAGGAGTGAGACGGTATTAACTATAGCCTAAGTCAAGCTCTTTCGAAGATTGTAGTGAGAAAATGGTTGGTATTATGGTAACAAAATTAGACTAATAAAGTAATTCAAGAAACTAAATACTAGGGATATAGGTTCCACATGAAAGTTCAATAATCATGCTAATTGATAGTTCATTAGCTTGATTCAAGCATTTCAAAGGACAAAAAATAGTAGCAATCAAGAGTGTTCAAGAACTATCTCCTAGAGGCCAAGCTAGGGGTCACTATGAATGGCTAATCAAGGAAATTCACAATCAAACTCAATCATTTAAAGCAATTCTCAAATTGATGGTTCGTGTCATTAAGAATCGCAATGCAATCTAGATTAATCTTATAGGTTGATCATTCCTAATCTAATTAATCACATGCAAAACTATGTCAACCAATTTAATTGCAACAATTCAATCAATCAAAGATCATCAACTAGCACAAATTATTAATCAAGCATGCTTCCCCTTCTCCCTAGCAACTAATCTACTCACTAATCATGGTGTAACTCAAGAAAAAATCACTAGAAATAGCATTGATCATCATTCAAAATCAAAATCAAGACAAAACAATATCAACAACAATATCCAATTCAAATCCAAGCAAATCAAACAATCAAACATGAAACTAAAACAAACAAGTAAATAGATGAACAAGAAGAAGAGATTCTCACTAACATTAATGATTGAAAATGAAGAAATCCAAGCACAATTGATCCAATGTTGAAATACAAATCCAATACCAAGAACTTCTCTCTTACTTCTCTCTCTAAAACTAAGCTAATGAAAATGATCTAAAAGTTGTTTTCACAAAGGAATTACAAGTGTATTTATAGGCAAAGAAGGAAAACAGAATCCTCGCGCCCTCTCTAGTAAACCCAGCGCCCTCGCAGAAATGGGTACGGAACTCATAACAAACTCTGCGTGCTATCTGGGTAACACCCGTGCCCACGGGTCCTCTAGCCCACACCCGCGGCAAAGGCCTCCGTGCCCGCGGCAACGGCGCGGCGAATCCCCTGCTCCCAAACGGTGATCAGAGGGTCGCAGTCTCTCTAGCTAGGTGCGGTCTCTCCAGTCTACCCGCGCTCGCGGGGAGCCTGCGGCCAGCCGTGAAGAGTTCCTTGTCGAAATTGGCCAATTTGGTGCATACGAGCCCGCGCCTGCGGCCTTCAAGACCTGTGCCCGCGACAAACTGGCAGGGCTTGATGCCCTCTCCAAGGCCTTTCCAAGCCCTTTCTGAGCCCTCTCTAAGCCGATTACATCCTCCTCGCATAGTCCATCTTGATCCCCTTGCAAAGACAAATCCTAGGTACCTACAAGAACAAACAACGGAAAGGAATAAAAGGGAAAAAAGGACCAAATAAAAGGAAAACAAGAAGAAAACACGAAAAACACAAGGAAAGAAACACTAGTAGAAAAAACGTAATGGCAAGCGCTTCAAACCCCCTAATGGGAAGCGGTTCTGAACCGCATTGGTTTAGGGGGCTTGCCAATAGCCATTTAAATGGCAAGTGTTTCAGAACCACTTCTTATTAGGGGGGAAAGGGAAGCGGTTTGGCGCCAAAACCGCCTGACATTTGGTTTTTTTATATATTAATTAATAATAATAGTATTAGGGACCTGTTTTGATATGCGCATTAATATGTAATTTTCAAAATTATTATTATTTATATTATTATTAATTATTATTATTAATTAATAATAATATTAATAATAATTACATTAAAATATTATAAATTTAAGAATAATAATTCAATAACAACAAAATGCATAATAATAAAAAACATATATAAAACTCATAAATAATATATAGTACTAATTACAAATAAGTAATGAACATATTAAAAAAAAACTCAATCTCATTATATAACTAAGCTAGCACATATATATTATATAATCTACCTAGATGCAATCAAATGTCAAAAAACAAGCGCACATGTCGCAAATTTCATCAAATTTTTCCCTTGTTTAAGGGCCTTTCCTTTGAATCTTACAAACCTTTGAAAAAAAATACCAAACATTAAACATCATTTATATATTACATAAAATTCAAACTAATAATTAAATAAAAATGTATATGTTAAATATTTCAAACATCATTCATATTAATATTCATATTACATCATTGTATTAGGTGTCTAAGGTTTGAAATCACATCAAAAGAGGGTTTTTTAATTTATAGGACGGTTTTTATCCAAAATCTCCCAAATAAGCCCTATATGACTTCTACTTTGCCCGATTTATACATTTCTTACCTAGTGAACTATTTATTTATCATAACATGTCCATATTAACTAGTCTTAGGTGTCTAATATTTGAAATCATAGCAAATTAGCATTCTACTAAGTTTTAGGACGACTTTTACCCAAAATCGCCTGTTTGACATCTACTTCGCCCGAAATCTACATTTCTAACCTAATGAACTATTTATTTATTTATCATAACAATTCAATTATAACTAGTCTTAGATGTCTAATGTTTAAATCATAGCAAATTAGCATTCTCCTAAGTTTTAGGACGACTTTACCCAAAATCGCCTATTTGACTTCTACTTTGCCCGATTTCTACATTTCTTATAAAATGAACTATTTCTGTATCATAACATGTCAATTATAATTAGTATTAGGTGGCTAATGTTAAGTTTTAAGACGGCTTTTATCCAAAATAGCCTATTTGTTTTCTACTTTGCCCGATTAATACATTTCTTATCTAATGAACTATTTCTTTATCATAACATGTCAATTATAATTAGTCTTAGGTGTCTAGTGTTTAAAACCATATCAAATTAGCATTCTACTAAATTTTAGGACGACTTTTATCCAGAATCGCCTGTTTGACTTCTACGTTGCCCGATTTCTACATTTCTTATCTAATGAACTATTTCTTTATCATAAAATGTCAATAATAACTAGTCTTAGTTTTCAAATGTTGAAAACCATAGCAAATTATCAATCAACAAAGTGTTAGGATTACTTTCACCCAAAATTGCCTATTCCACTTCTACTTGCCCATTTTTTACATTTCTTATCTAATGAACTATTTATTTATCATAACTTATCATTATTAAATGTTTTAGGTTTCTATTGTTTGAAATCATAGCAAAAGATCATTTTACTATGTTTTAGGACGACTTTTACCCAAAATCGCCTATTCCACTTCTACTTGCCCATTTTTT